ATGATTTATTTTACATGGCTACACTCTGGCTCTCATATAACTTAAGACTGTTAAAACATTCCCTCCACAAACTCTAAATAAGCAACACTATTTGTTTAATATAATCATCTGAATGTCTACCACATAAAACCAAATAATAATACAGACAAACAACAATATATAACAGATAATATTATAAAAAATAATAAAAATAACGAGTAATATAGAAAACAAAATGAAGTACAAATTAGTACAAAAATATTAAATTTTTTTAAGATGATTTAAATTTATTAAAAAAAATTACTCATATTTCTTAACAATTTGATATAACACAAGTAAAGCGCTCAGCCATGTTGATCTAATGTCGGATGTCAAGTAGGTGTTTAACTTGTAGCAAATATCTGGCCATTTCTCAGGGAAATCACAAGAGAGAACCTCATAAACACTAACTGTGAGTTGAATTCGAATTAATTCTGATGCTTTAATAACAGACTCAACAATTTTATCACGAATAAAAGATTTATCTGCATCAGGTGTAATAAACAATTGTTCCCCATGAATTTGATTAATGTCACGATCTCTCTAGAATTTTCCAGTCATATTCTTTAAGTATATTACAGCAGCTTGTCTGATTGAAATATGAATATCTGATGACATGACCATCTGTAATATAACAGGTAAAAAACCCGGACATATTGAAAACTCTTGCAACTGAGCTTCAGCCTGAGCTCTTGTATCTGGAGAAGGATCCAAAGTATGCTGAAATAAACTTGTAATTAACTGGGCGTCCATAGTACTTTGCAATTATTTTGGAATATTTATACACCTATTTTACTACACTTGGTTTTCATGTGCCACTCTTACGTAACTTGCATAAAGCAAGCATAAAGCAACTTGCGTAACTAGCATAAAGCAAGAGAGAGTCTTTCTCTGTGTGTGAGAGAGGGGAAATATGTGTGCCAATATAGATACAATATCCACAAAAATATGTTGTTTATTCGTTACTTTTTTAAATATCTATTTTTTTTATTTATAAATGAGAACAAGGCTATTTTAAAATAAAATAATATTAAAATTATCTCTGAGTAATCAGGCTATTGAAGTAACAAAGTATTTTAACCTAAATATTAAACTTACTTTGAATAATGATGCTATATTCTTCAATAATTTCAGTTATCCAGAAGTATTAACAATATTAAGATTATTTTAAATAATATTGCTCTGTTGTTAATTATATCAAAAATCACGAGATAATAATATCTATGGATAATTTAAGTTATTAAAAAAATTGTTTTTCAAAATCTAATTTCTTGGTAAATAATATTGTTATTTGCAAATAATAGAAATTTCTGTAAAAGTTTAAATTGTTTTAGTAGATCTTTTATTTTTTATTTCTATATATGAAATCTCATTGTTGTAGTTTATTATTGCAAAGAGTAGGAATTCCATAAATAATTCCTTGATACAACAGTTAGTCCAAATGGAATGCTTTTCACAAATCAGTAGAATTGTTTTCTGTTGCTGTTGAAAATAGTATTACAATTCTTGAGATGAAATCAAATTGTTCACATTGGTTGTTGCTATTAGGTTGATGGCGTCTTAAATTTGTACTGTGTCTTGTTGAAATTGTACTGGTGTCTTGAGATTGTACTGTGTTTGGTGTTGGTGTCTTGAACTCCTACTACTTGAAAACCTACTACAATACTTGTTGTTCTGATTTAATCAATATTTGCTCTCTCAATGAGTCAAACTTTTTATATCAAATATAAAAATGTTTTATTCGTGCAAAAATGGACCATAAATTCTTAATCAGAAATATCACTGAAAAAAAACTAATAAAAAACAAGTGGATTTTAATTCAAACTCAATTTTTATTAATTAATTATTAAACTTTTATTAATTAATGTATAATAAACTGAGCAGCCGTGGAGCAGTGGTAGCGCACTTGCCTCATAAACAAAGGATCCATGGTTCAAACCCTACCTCTGGGCAAGTCTTATGACATCGGTTAGGAAGGAGGCGTAAACTTCCAATTAAATGTTCATCCGCGGTGCTCTGTAATAAGACTGTGTAAGGACTTCTTAAGGCTAAATATAAAAAAAAATTATGTTAATACAACTGAAACTGTACGCATTGACGTTACAAATGTAGATTTATATCAACTAGATAGTCACACAGCAATAATGTATTTTTCATAATATGTTGTGGAAAAGTTGTTGAACTTTTGTTTATGTTTTCAAAATGTTCCTTATATTTCTGACAATTTGAATTTTGTTTATAAATAGTTTTAGTTCATTTTTGTTTATAAATTAATTGAAGCAATTTCTTTATTTATTAAAACTGCCATTCCCTATAGCAAATAAAAGTGTTGTTGATTCAAGTCAATGTGATAAAACAAGACCACTCAAAAGGAAATTTGCAAATTATTATGATGTTTTTTTATATCTTATATGCAAATTATTATGATGTTTTCTTATAGTGTATGAAAAGTGAGAATGTTAAAACAAGAAGTTAAAACAAAATACTTTAGTTTAGCACTTCCAATATTTTATGAATGTAAAATTTTATGCTAAAATAAAATACTTTGTTTTAACTTCTTGAAGCTATGCTAGACAAGTTGCATGATCTGAGCAGGGGTGAACCCAGACCTTTTTTTGGTACCATAGGAACGATATGGGCGCTAAAAAATGCCTCAAATTAATAATTTCTTGTTGTTTTTCTTTTTATATTAAAAATAAAAATAAAAAGTTCTTTTAAATGCTAGTTTTCTGTATATTTTAACTACTTCATTTAGCTAGTGATGTTTACAATAAAGGTTTGCGGCAGAATTAAGTTTTTATAACTCGCCACATCAAAAGGAAATCTCAAAAATAAATTCTAGGTTTATCACTGCTAAGAAAGAATAAGGAAAAAGCAGAGGCTAAAAATAATTGATTTTTTATCTATTCAAATAATTAAATAAACAATTCGAAAATTATAGTATTAAAATAACTGTTGTATACAATTATTTGAATGATTAAATAAAACCAATGGGCATTCACTTATGGCATCATACAGGAAGCCAAATGCTTATCTTATATAAGCTCAGGATAATACAATTTATATTATCCATTTGGGTTTATGTAAATATGCCCCAATTAGTTCTTATTGAGTGCTTGTAATGTTTATGTTTACAATAATAAATGTGAAGCATTTTGTTAATAATTAATATCTCATTTAAAAAACCAACCGACTCTTGTTTGGTAAGTTTTTCTAATTTTCTGTTATTGATTATTTTTCTAATAGATATTCAAAACAGATTGAAAGACTGTTTATGCTATATATGCTGTTACTTTTAAAAGTAACTGCACGTATATGCTATATGGAGCTATTCAAATACTACGAGAAACTTTTTTTTCAGTTTTTCAGTTTTTCTCCTTTTGTTTATTTGACATTTTAAACAATCCCTTCACGCCCTCTTTGTTACATGACGTTTTTAAACAAATATATCTTTTAATTTGTTAATTTTTTGCTTAAAATTTAAAAATCTGTTGATTATTAAACTTAAAAAAAAGATTTAGTTATACCAACTACTTCCTTTATACAAATAGTTAAAATAATACAAAATTTGTATAACTATTTGTTTAAGTTTTTTCCTAAGTTTTCCGTAACTCATGCGCAACCTTAACTTTACGCAAATGCTGCAAAAAAGTTGTGAATTCCAAACAGTTACGCAAAAAATAATTTGCGTAGCTTTTTCGAAACGGATTCACCAAAGTTTTTTTTTGCTTAAGTTTGGCGTATGTTTGGCGTAAGTTCAAAACTGTGAAATGCGTATTCACGAAACTTGCGCAAAATCGTTCAACAAAACTTATGTGAGTTTTTTCCTAAGTTCAAAGGTAAAAAATTGGTAATCACCAAGCTGAAATGGTATTCACCAAACTTTTTAAAAACTTACTCAGCTCAATTTAAGCAACAAAAGTTACGTTAGCTATCAGCTGCCTTAACTTTAGCGTAACGTTAAAATCACTAAACATTAAAAATAGTGTATATTATCAAAATGCATATTTAGCTTTTGTGTCATAATTCATATATTATTAAGATATTATATTATTATAATGCATGTATAATTTTGTTGATTCCTATTTCATAGATATAGAATACGATTATTCTTTACTCTATCACAATTTTTAGTTATATCTATTTAAATTTTACTCAGGGCTGTGGAGTCGGAGTTGTGGAGTTGCGACATTTTTAGCCGGAGTCGCTTAACAAAATTGCGAATAGTAAAACTACTCGGTATTGCACGTGATATACAAATCATTCAAAAAAGGTTTCATAAATTTGTTAAAATAGAAATTTTTAACTTATCGCGTAATACTTTTTTAAGAATTCAAAGAATTTTTCAAGAATTTTGCTTTGGAGATGGAGTCAGAGTCGGAGTTGTGCTCAAAAAATTTCAACAACTGGATTTGGAGTCGTTACTTTTTTTTTATGACTCCACACCCCAGATTTTACTGTTAAAAAGCAACTAACTGTATTTAAAAAAATCATTCCAATTGTAAAGTCATGTGATATCAGATTAAATTAGCTGGCTTGATATTTCATTTTCATTTATATTGTTTTTATTACATTGTAATATTATTTGTGAACGTAATTTTTATAATATTTAAAAACATATTTAATAATATTTTAAGAACTTTCCGACAATCCTTCTTTTTAAACCTGTTCCTTAAAAAAGTTATTATTAGCATATAGTAACAATATAGTATGCATTAACATTAACAATATATAATTTTATATAATTTATTTGTAAAGTTAAGTGAAAGGTAAAAGTAAGTTGTAAAGTAGAGTATTTCAACATTATATCTATATATATCTAGCAATTAATAAAATTTTTAGTTGTTCCTTTGTTTAAATATTAAAAAATGTATACTTTAGTTTTTAAGTAGATGCTTTTAAGTTAATTTTTTTTCGTTTCATTAAGTATTATGAGCATAATCCATATGATTTTTTTAACAGTGCTATTTAATTCTAGTGAAAATGGATATTCCAATCATTCTAGCCGAACAAGGTGATGATCAAATATGGCGTGAAGCTCAGCGTGTTTCTTTAACTGATTAGTCAGATGTTGAATGTCTGAAAAAATTTTGTTTACTAAAATCTAATATAACAGAAATTATCAACACTCTTCGCAACAATTTGTCACCCATTGCATTAAGAAGTAACGTGATTTTTCCAGAAGCAAAGGTGTTGATTTCTCTAAGAATTTTATCAACTGGGAGTTTTAAAGGTGTTGTTGGTAAGAGTTATTTTTCAATGCATATAATATTAGCAATACCAAAAAAATAGTAACTTATGATTCTTTATTGTCATTCTTTTAGCTTTTTTTTTTATAATGGTGTTCTTTATGGTGATTATAGGTGACACTTTTAATGTAAGTCAGTCAAGCTGAAGTCGCATAATCCACCAATTTTGCAAGTTTTTCATTCAGCATTATTTTCACCTGGTAAAATGGTATCAAGAGGAGTTGGATGAAAAGAAAAAGTACCTTCAATCATCTGGAAAAAGAAAAAGTACCTTTAATCATCTGGAGTTAAAGGTCTTCTTGGGATAATAGATAGCACAATAATGCAAATCAAAGGAGTGTTTAGGGCTGACAAGCCAGCATATATTTGCAGGTAAATTTATTTTTAAAAAATCATTTTTATTTGATTTCTTTTTTACTTGTTTTATTGCATAGCTGTAGGTTTATACCAGAAACCTTTTAATTAACTGATCTCAAGACTTGTAGGACTTTCTGGACATTCATCCATATTTTTTACTTCTATTTTTTTAGAAAAGGATATCTTGCTTTAAACAGTCAAGTAGTTGTAGACTACAATGGAATGTTTAAAGCTGATACAGTGCAATATCAACTGTTATTGCGCTCCACAACTGTTAACACCAGTTGTTACAGCTACCTCTTATTATTATTATTATGTTGTTGTTGTCTAGTATCCGGGATCGTGTGATGATGCCTTTATTTATTCTAACTCTATACTAAAACAGACATTAGAGTATGATGCTAATGCTGGTTTTCTTTTTGCTGACTCAGGGTATGGATTGTCTCAGGGTATGGATTGTCTCTAAGCAGCCGTGGCGCAGTGGTAGCGCACTTGCCTCAGGAACATAAGATCCGTGGTTCAAACGCCACCCTGGGCAAGTTTTGTGACATCGGTTGGGAAGGAGGCTTCCTATTAAATGCTCTTCCGCAGTGCTCTGTGACAAGACCGTAAGGACTTCTTGGGGCACCTAAAATCAAAAAAAAATTGTCTCCAGTCTTCATTACACCATTTAGCTAGCCAACAACAACTGAAGAAATATATTTTAACAAAGTTCATTGTCAAGTACGTAGTGAAGTTGAGCGATGTATAGGTTGTCTAAAAAACCGTTGGAGTTGTTTGCACTTCAATACACTTTAATACACCCCTAGTATTTGCTGCAAAATAGTTTTTACATTTATTTTACTTGAAAACTTATGCAATTCATTAGGACTAGAAGTTCCAGATGACATTGACTTAGAGTATGATAAAGATGATGATCAGACTGAACTAACACAAGCAAACCAAGTTTGACTTGGTATTGTAAGAAGAAACCAAGTAAAAAGCTATATATTTGCAAATCAAAAGCGTTAATGCATCGTTAAAATGTTATACTTATATATGATTTTCTGTAGTTTAATTTGAAAAATAATTATTAGTTTAAAGTTTAATGAAATATATTAGCTTAAGTTAAGGTATATATATATATATATATATATATATATATATATATATATATATATATATATATATATATATATATATATATATATATATATATATATATATATATATATATATATATATATATATATATATATGTGTGTATATATTAGTTATGTATCGATTAATCGGCATTGGCTTAATCGGACACATTTTGTACAATCTGTATCGGCATCAACTTTCCAACCGATTTTCCAACCAATGGCATTTTAATATTTTTATTGTGCTTTATTATAATATTTAAATAATAAATAAACTAAACTTTACGCATTACTTAGACTTTTTTAGATATATTTTTATTGTGACTTTGTTTACAGGCAAAAGCTTTAAAAGTAACTTATTTAAGCATTATTATCTATATTTTTTAAATTCTTTTTTACTTTCAACAAGGCTGCAAGCAACCACTATTAAGTTGGGAGTTGCTAGAAAAATAGAGTAGAGTATTAAAGTGTATTGAAGATCAAGGAAACGGTTGACAGAAGAGTTAAAAAGTTGAAGGTTGTATTATTCAGGAAAACATGAAGATGGGACAGAGTTTCAAAGTGTTGAAGTGCTGGGAAATAAGCTAGACAAATAAAAGTTTTTGGAGCATGATGAGACAGATACAGTAAAAGAATGAGACTTATGAATGATGACTTAAGTAAATGAGACTTGATGAATGATGAGTTAAGTGAGAATGAGTTTTGGTTGATGGAACTACAGATAAAAACTCCTTTGAGCAGCAACCATGGTAGTATTTGTAGAAAAGAGAAAGAGATACACTTATACGACAATGGGAAAGAGGCTCAAGTTTAGCTGATAGACCAGGTCCGACTCATTTTAATAATTAGGTAATTCATCGGGTTCGGCATTGGTATCGGCCTTTTCCCATCCATCGGCATCGGCCAAAAAAGTGATATCGGTACATCACTTATATATATATATATATATATATATATATATATATATATATATATATATATATATATATATATATATATATATATATATATATATATATATATATAATATACACACACACACACACATTTAACGCAACTCATGCGCAACTCTAACTTTACGGAAATACTGCGAAAAATTGGTGAATACCAAATAGTTACCAAAACAACGTTGAGCGTACGGTTTCCGTAAAAGTTCGGTGAACCCACTCCCTGGGTTTTTACCTGGGATTAATATGGGGCTTCCGTTAATGGTTTACGGCTGGTTTGAAGAAGGGACGCGTGGTTTAATGGTTGGATGTATTTTCTAATCAAAGCAGTTTATTTGGCATCGTTTCTAGTAAAAAAATTTGTTGAAATAAAATTACAAAACTCTTTTTTAATTTCATATGCAGTAACCGACTTGATTTAGATTGAATATACACTTGCATTTGAAGTAAATATACACAGGAACTTCATTTGTTTTTTTTTATTGTATTTTTGTAAAAAATATTTACATATCAGTTTTAATTCTATACTAAAAGTGTAAATATGTTAAAATCAATATTTAGTCAATCATTTAAAAAATGATTTCACATACAAAAAAAGAAAATATGACATGCTCTCAAATTTTTTAAATGCCCTGCATTTATATAAATACGTGAAAGAAATGAAATTTTAGACCAAAATTCAGACTGAGTTTTTGAGCTATTAATAAGTTTGAGATATGTTAACATTTACTTTTTTTTAGATTTGTAAAGTGTTTTATTAAGCTGAAAGCTCATTCTGTAATTATGCAATAGATAAATGTTTAAAATTTTTTAAAATAGTTTTTATGGTTTGTATGCTTAATTTTAATTTTTTTTTCAAACAATGACTTTTTGAATTTGCTATGTTTTGTAAAGTGACTTTGACAAATTTTGTTATCAAAACATAGTTAAATTTTACTATGTAACACTGCCATATGTAATTTTTACATGTTATTTATTTTTACATAAATCATTTAATAAATGGTTTATGTATTTATAAATAATATGTAAGTTTTATATACTTATGAAAAAAAATTAAAAACAAACATTTATTAAATGTAAGATTTTACATATTTTATAAGTAATATAATTAATATTTCTTAGTATAAATAATATGTTATCAAATATATAACTTATAGAAAATGTTAAATCTTACATTTATATTATGCATTTATAAATGATGTTATAATTTTATATATAGTAGTGTAATTTAGTAAAACCTTACTAATAGTAATATTATAACTTTACAAAGCATAGTAATACTATGTTTTGTAAAGAGATATTTTTTATATAGACTGGCTAGGACTTGAACTGGGTAGAAGATGGGTCCCATATGGTGCAATGATTGCAAAAATTATGCTTGAAAATATGATAAAATCTTTTAAAATGACATATACAGTAACGCAGATTGATTTGGATTTGGATATACACTTACATTTGGATTTGGATATTTGGGTAAACACTTACATTTAAAGTGAACAGGAACTTAATTTGGTTCATTTTAAATATTTTTGTAAAAAACAATTATTTAACAATTATCAGTTTTAATTCTATATATCTATATTTTTATAATCATTTTATATTATAACTTTAATGTTATATATTAATGTAGTTATTAATAATTATTGATAAAATATTATTAGTATTTGATCAAAAAAACAATAAAATGTAATTAATAAAAGTTACAGAATTATTACAGATAAGAATTCTTAAATAAAGCAAATTGAGAAAATTATACGGGCTGTCTGCTCAGCAAATACTGCTAGCATTAAATGGTGAAATGTGCAATCCTTCATCAAAAAATCCCTTTCATTACTTTAAAATGCGTTTAATGCAAGATTTGCAATTAATAAGTAAATACAAAACTATTAATAGAAAACCTCTATAGACAATACATTTATTATTAATACAATATATTTATTATTAATATTTTTAATATATAAAAATATCGGGTGGACGCGGAAAAATCCGGTCATCTTTAAATTGAGATTTCTCCAAAACCACAAATGCTTTTTATTTAATTTTTTTTTAATTAAACCTTACTTCCTTATCTTAAATGGTGTTGATAAATTTTTGTTTACAAATTAATGATTTGCAAAATGTTTTGGAAACAAGTTGCGGTGCGTAAAAAAGTTGTAAATTTTTTTTGCAAAAGTCCATCGACTTCCTATCACTTGATTGCTAAACGCACAAATGTCCCAAAATCTACAGTCATAGATATTATAAACAAGTTCAAGACTACTCAAAGCTTCAAAAGAAAACTTGGAAGTGGAAGAAAAAAAACTTTCCATAAATCCAAAAAGGTAAAGTCGATTTTACGTTCAATAGCAAGAAATCCAAATCAGTCACAGCGAGATCTAGCAAGAAAATTTAAGACTTCTCGTTCTTATATCAAACAAGTACTTAAAAATGCTGGAATTAAAGCATTTCATAAAAAAAATACACCTAAGAGAAGCTTAAATTGTGAAATTAAAGGAATTTGACGCGCAAAGAAGTTGGTTAAAATAATGGCGGATAAAAATATGTGCATAATTGAAGACGACGAAACGTATTGTAAGGCGGATTTTTCACAACTTCCTAGTCAACAATTTTACTATGAAAACAAAGATAAACCTGTCGATGATCAATTTAAATATGGTGAAAAAAGAAAAAATCTGTAAAATGATGGCATCAACCCGCTATAAAGTTCGATTTCTTGCCAAGCAACCCATCGAGCCCCTTAAAATTAAGTTGAAACTCTAATTTATGTAATCACATTTAATAATAAAAAATCGAAATAAAAAGCATTTATGGTTTTAGAGAAATCTCAATTTAAAGTTGACCGGAATTTTCTGTGTCCACCCGATATTTGCAATACATTTGCTTTAATATATAAATATATTTGCAATATATTTGCTTTAAGTGAAAAAAAGTAACAGTAAGAAAATTATTTAATGAATCAACAAAATTTAATTAAAATTATAGATTTTTTTTTTTTTTTTAATTATCTTCGCTTCCAACAAGGCTGGAAGCAACCACTAATTAGTGTTGGAAGTTACTGGAAGAGAAAAGATGAAGATTGTAGAACAAGATAACGATTGACATATGACTTAAAAGATTGCAAATTATATGAATCTGGAAAGCAAGATGAATGAAGCGAATTCCAAAGAACTGATGTTTGAGGAAAAAAACTAGACGAATAAGAGTTTTTGGAGCACTTAGGAACAGTAACAGAAAAAGAATGAGACTTAATTGAATGACGAGTAACACGAGAATGAATTTAAGTAGATGGCACAAGAGACGCTAGCTCTTTAGAGCAATGCCCATTATAGTATTTGTAGAAAAGAGAAAGAGAAGCAACATTACCACGATGTGACAGAGGTTGAAGGTTGGCTGCAAGAGCAGGTCCAACTACGTTTACAATGTGTTTTTGCACCTTGTCTAAAAGAGAAAGGGCATCATTAGAAGATCAGCCCCAGATATGGCAACAGTATTCCATACAAGGCCGGATTTGAGATTTATAGAGATAGAGAATAAAATCCAGAGTAAGAAAGTGACAAGCTCGATAAAGAGAAACAACTTTAGCAGATGCTAATTTTGCAACGGATTTGATATAAGGTTTCCAAGAAAGATCAGAAGTAAGAGTTAATCTTAGAAGATGAAGGGTAGGAGACTCATCGAGTACATTACCGTTCATAAATATAGGAAGGTCTAAATTATTGCGATAAAAGATAAAATAGATATTAAAAAAATATATATCTTTTCAATATTTCTTATAAACACATTCTTTCAACAATATATTTTCAACACTTTTTATGAGTACAAAACCAGGTCACATTATAGCAAAGTACATCACTTAGCTTGTAAGGTCAACACTCTTGCTGTAAACTAAGCCTTGTCACAACAATTTGAAACCATGCAAACAACATAATAACCACTTACAAACTATAAACAAATAACATTATATCACAAACATAGAAACACTCATATATAAAAGATATTGACACACTTACAAAATATAAACCCATATAACCTTAACACATATAAATACATAATAATAACACAAAAGTATAAATAAATATAAAAATTAGGAAAAATATATAAATTAGAAACTTTGCAAATACAACCTTATTTTTGTAATGTTTAATGACATACCTCATAATAAATGTTTAACAATTTGCAAAAACAAATGATCTGGTTTTTTATATAAAAGGAAACGGATTTTTTTAAACTTCTTTAAAATAAGGTATTAAACAATCTTGTTCTTTAACATGTAACACATACTTGTCCGTGTGAGATGCAAGGGTTTTGGAGATAAACACTAACTTTATCAAGAGTTTGACCTCTTGACCTTTGAAAAGAACAACGTCTTCTAGAGTCACCATCGTCTTCTAATTTAAAAATTACAGATTAATATACTTTAAATACAATTGACTAAGGACTTGAATTGTGTTATTATTATAATGTATGAATTAAATAAATCACCTGACTTTAAAAGTTACTTTAATAATTCCAAAAATAACATAAGGTTCATCCTTTACTACAGAAATTATCAAATAAAAATTGTCGATCTTATTACTGATTAAGCAGATATTAACATATTATTAAGATTTGAGAGTACCTCATCGCGTGAGTTCAACAGTATAAAGAGAAAAGACATTCTAAATCCTCTTTATAATAAATGGTAAAAAAGTCAGTGTAAAGGCGCACGAATGGGCAGCTGCAGCATTAAATTAAGTATTAATTATAAGTGATGCATGAATTAGTCAATATTTTAATACTTTAATGTAGATTCAATAGTCAATTTTTTAATAGTTTAATGGTAGTATGTATTATCATCAATATATGCTTCAGGTTCTGGAAGTAATTCAGTACCTCCTCAGTTTCTCCATCTTGATTGGCTAAATACCTTTAATGAACAACGTGAACAACCTCCAATATTTGTTCACCTTCTAATTCCAAATTAGAAGCAAAACATTTGGAGGAAAATAATGACATGGTATGCGAGCAAGTTGAAATTATTCATTGTCCATTCAATCAACTAAATACTAATTTACCTGAAGATGTGACTGAAGAAAAAGAAATAAATTCTTGTGTGTGAGTCGATTCAAGTGACAAAGTACAAAGGAAAACATTATAAAAAGTTAATTCAAATAAAGTAAATCAAGATAAAGATTATTTAATTATGATTAATATAAGTACTCTACACTTGTTTATAACTGTCAGTTTTCAATGTGAAAATAATTTTAATACAAAATTTATTGTGGTCAAAACTACAATTGTTTTTAATTTTTTTCAATATGTTTAAATTGTAACAAATAATTATTTTCAAGTAATAATGTAACGATTATTTGTTTAATTACATATAATTCAAAATGTAATGTTAGTAATATTGATTATTTTTGCATTTATTAAATTATATAAAAGATATTAAACCCTTACTAACTGATTTAAAGATTTGATGTCATGTTAATTTGAGTCAAGACTTTAAATTTCAAATGGTAACATAGTAGTCATGTTATGTTATTGTTGTTTACAAGTCTATTTATGTAATGCCTAATTAATAACATCAAACATATACCATAAAATAACATTGTTTTAGATTCCCTGCAGGCTACCTGTTAAAAAGAAAAAACTGAAGAAACTTGAAGATGATGGCAACTGAAGAAGTTAAAACACCCTTATTTATGGTGTCATATCGAGGCTTTAGTTCTCCAATATTTATTTTTGTATTTTATTATTTATGTTATGTTTATTTTATTTTTTTATTTTCGTTATTTTTGTAACAACAAACTATGAGAATGACTATTTGACGTGCCCTGGGCCTCAACTTCAATCTGGCTATGGTTATCTTAGTAATAACACGTATATCGATTTATATACTGTGTTGAGTTAGCATGTCATTTGTACGTGTGTTTTTGTTTGCCTAGTGTTTGTTAGTTATATGCAGGATATGACGTGGTATGGTGCACTGCATGATATGCCCTAAATAATATTATCAATAAATATTTTCATCTATACTTTGTAAATATATATGCTATAAACTATTATATTATTCAAATGTTTATTTTTAATTTATAAAATTAGTGTAAAAGTGGAAGAAAGCACTGAAGAAGCAAAACGATAAACTTTAAAGCAGATTTTTGTCATGCGATTAGGGTGGCGATATAAGAGAACTATTGTGCCAGAATATTACTATCGTCGAACAGTTGTGCATCAAATCATTGTATAATAATAGTTTTTTTTTGCTTAAAATTATTATGAAATTCAAAAATGTCAGACCAAATATTCATTTGCCTATACATTTTATTGCCCTGACAGCGAATTTAATATAGATAATATCAATAACCTTTACTTTTTAATTTTATATAAAAAATGCGACTTTTTTTAATAAAAAAATTGTCACGTTAATTCGTAGATTCGAATCTAAAAAAGTATAGTTAAAGGTAATAAATCGTGCGCATGTTGACAAAAATGGAGTAGTTTAACTACTCCATCTAATATCTTCATATGGAAGTATATAAAATCTTAACTCTGTGAATTATTGTTATTTTTATTAATATTAATAATAATGATACTTTGTGATAATTTTGATTTGATACAAGGCCTTCTAAAGTAGAAGGCCCGCTCATGGAATGAAAAAACTCTTGTGACGTCACTTTAGTAGTCCGATGTTAAATTTTTCGATTATCTATTTATTTCTAAATATTTCAAGTTGTAAATATTAAAGATTTAGTTTTCATATTTTCAATGCAGTTTATTATGAATTTAGTACATTTTAATCAATTTTATTAAAGTGTGATATAGTGAGTGTTTTTAAATTTTCAACTGATCCAAATATCAAAGAACTATGGATTCGTCAAATTCCTCAAGAAAATTTAGTTTCTTCAAATGTGAAAAAAATTGTTAAGAGAAAAAGACCAAAATTAATAAAAGATTCTTACCCATCATTTCTTTCATACCTAACATTTCTTTTTATTTATCAATAAAATTTATATTTACAATAACCTACTTGTTGGATTGTTTGCTTGTAATTTAAAGATAGACAGCAGTTTGGTGGCTAAGGTACTTAACGATAAATGTAAACTTTCTTATTTGACTCGATTGTCCTCAATGTTAACACAAATTTTTCCTGGTAATAAAAATATTATGTCCAGTTCAGATTATGTTTTAATAATTCAATGTAATTTAAATAATCTATGTGAACGAGTTAAAGACAGTAATAAATATTCTACAGTTGTTCATAAATGTTTATTACTTTTATGTGATCAAATGGAATATTATTGATTTATTAACCTTGATACTCTAGCTTTTAGTTTTTATCTGAAATGTCACAGTGCAAACATTTATAGCTTCTTTATTATCATCATACACAGATGTTGCTCAGTATCATTCAAAGATGTTGTTTCAGTAAAAAATATGACTATCTATTTAAAAAAATACTATAAAAGTGGTTGAAATGATAAAAAAAAATTGTGGCTACAAAGTCCTTTCTTTAATTTCAGACATTAGTCAGATTAATTGAAACATGTTTATTGCCTTTTGTAGTGGTTTTGTAGTGGTTTTGTAGTGGTAATTTATTTATTCAACATTTTTAAGATTCAACTGTTTTTTTATTTAATAGTGTTTAATAATATTTTAAGAATATCTTAATATTTTAAGTTTAATATCTTAAGACAAAGACAAGGCCAAGGATTAACAACTCTGACAGAAATTTATGAGTTTATTTCTTTAATTATAAAACTTCGGAAAATATTAAATGTCTCCTATCAATCCTATCAATGACTTAAACGTTTAAGTTTAAGTCATTGATAGGATTGATAGGAGACAAAAATTAAATAAAGTGATCCTTTAAAAAAAATTTAAAGGATCACTTTATTTAGTTTGATTGTACATGTAGGAAAAGTTCTTTAAAATTTTAACAAAAATTATTTTCTTTTACAGGTGTACATTTTTTTAATAGAGGTTGAAATTTTAGTTGCAAAATGCTACTTTTGGCCGAGTTTACAGTTTCGTTGCTGTTAAAAAAAAGTTTTGTTTTTTTTTGAACAAATTTTGCAAAAATTTTTTTTATTTTAAATAACAATTCTGAAAAAACCAGAATACACAACAATATATAAAAAAATTTTAAAAAAAATCTTTTTGTCTAAAAGCATAACATAACAATTTGGTTTTTTATTTGACAATAAAATTGTTTTAAAATAACATTTAGCGTAATATGAAATCATTGAAGTTTTGTTAAAAAAAATACACGATGATAAAGCGGCAAAACACCTCGTTTTTCGAGGTGTTTTGCCGCTTGAGCACACGATAAATGTCAACAATATTTAAGGAATTTTTTTTCGTAATCCTATTTTTTTTATATTTGCTCCAAATTTGGCTTCTTGTGCATTCGCGTTAAAAATTTTGTTTTTCAACTGAACTGGACAAACATCATGTAATAATTTTTAATTAACTCTTACTCTTATATAATCTTTGCTCATTCTTCCCTGAAGCTTTCACGGATGCATGCATTCCCTTAAAGCAACTGGTCCCGTTTGAGTCAATGTTTCAAGAGTTTTAAAAAATCTTTGTAATATGAAATCTTTGAAGTTTAACAAAACTTCAAAGATTTCATGTTACGCTAAATGTTATTTTAAAACATTTTTATTGTCAAATAAAAAACCAAATTGTTATGTTATGCTTTTAGACAAAAAGATTGTCAAGATACGTAGTATTTATAATACCAATCAAAATGATGATATATGGTTGAAGGCATGTTACTTATTAGAACACCTTTCTTTCTCGTTTATATTAATGATCTTCATAAAGCTTCTAATTTGATGTCAGTCATGTTTGCAGATGACACTAACCTCTTTTATCTGATAATAGCATAACTACATTATTTCAAGATATGAACATGAAATAAACAAAAATATCTGATTGGTTTAAAATGAATAAACTTTCACTAAATAATGAAAAAACAAAATGGACACTTTTTCATCCAGCGTCTAAAAAAAAAAACTACTTCCTTGTGAGCTACCTTTACTTTTTATTGAAAAAATCCAAATAAAAAGAGTAATTAGTGCTAATTTTTTGGGTATCTATGTTGATGAAAACCTTAGTTGGAAATACCACATTGAATTCTTGTGTAATAAAATTGCTAAAAGTATAGGAATATTGTATAAAGCTAGAGGTGTGTTAAATAAACGTAGTCAAATTCAATTATATTTCTCTTTTATCCATTGTCATTTAAACTATGCAAAAATTGCTTGGTGCAATGCCAATAAATGTAAACTAGAGCCTCTTTATCGTCAACAGAAGCATGTTGCTTGTCTTATTAATTTTAAAAACAGATTTACTCATGTCAAGCCACTTTTATTTGAAATGAAAATTCTTAATATATATCAGCTGAATGTTTTTAATATTTTTTGTTTTATGTATAAATGTAAAACTAACTCTTCCCCAGTTTCTTTCCATAATTTATACACGCTGAAATATCAAAGTAAATACAATTTGAGAAATGATAATTTAATTCGGCAACCATTTTTTCAGACTAATTTTGGAAAATCTAGTATTTCTTTTCGAGGATCTTTTCTTTGGAACAAAATAGTTTTAAAACATTTTAATTTTTCTCTGCAATGGAGTTATTTTTCATTCAGAAATAAGCTTAAAGAAATCATTTTGTATCATGATGATATATTGTCATATTTTTAAACGTTATTAATTTGATGTATTTTTTTAGTTTATTCAGTTGAATATTTATAAGAACATGCACTTAAATGTAATTAACTATATATGGACTTGACTTTATATATATATATTGAATTTTATGAAGTTTTTTGACTTTATATATATATATATATATATATATATATATATATATATATACATATTGAATTTTATGAAGTTTTTTGACTTGAAATCGTCTGCGTTGGATAATTATAAAGGAACGCATTTATCCAAATCTTTAACTAAAGTTAAAGATTTGGAAAAGTCCCTATTAATTTAGTTTATTGTAAACTATTTTCCTACAAAAATAATTTTGCTCCAATTTTGCATACTTGTAATAGTTAAATTATATTATCTTAATAATATTAGTTTTGCAAACAAATTGTTTTTTATTTATTTATTTATGCTTTACTTAGGTGCTGTAATTCCAATTACTATTTTTGCGTTTAACTATTAAATATGAAAATTTAAAAGTGGGTAATTTTTTGTATATCATACAAAATATTAGTTATTTAACAATGGTAAATTTTATATAGATTTATATTTTAATTGAGTTTGCTAACAGTTCTATAGCCGTAGCTTTACATTCGTGGCTAGAGTCGGATGAAGTTGACCAAAACGGTTTCCACATGGTTGCATTTCTCGATTTTAAATATACAAAAACACGATATATGCTGAAGAATAAATTGCCAGCACTAACAACATGGGAAACTGTTCCATGCAAAGTTTTATACAAACATGGTAAGTGTGCATAGTAGTTAGGAAACTTAAAAAAAATTATAATCTAGCCGACTATAATGCTTGACTGATATATTGGTAGGATGATTTGCTTGATGAACTATGATTAGATAAATTTTTAATACCAAATAGTTTTGTTTTTAATTCTGATTAACGCTTTTTTCTAGAATCTCTCAAAAATATTTATAAACACTGCGAAAAATATTCAGAGACTGGAAATTTACTTTCAACGGACTATGAAAATAGACGAACTCGCAGATGACCTCTGTACCTATCGGACAAGGAATACGAAACAAATGACAAAAAAAAGTCAAAACTGACTCACAAAGAAAACGAAGTTGGCTTAGCATCACTACCAACTCCACCAACAACACTGAATACACAACTTCTTCATTTATTTCCAACTACACCATCACTATTATATTCAGCATCATCACAACTTTCTTCTTTGTTTTTATCTCAAAGTCTACCTCGTTCAACACTCCAACTAATTGAAACTTCATCTGAATGTTTTGGATCATCTGCATCAGTTCAAACTTGCTTTAAAGCTCGACAAAAGACTCCAAGTTCGAAGGATAATGAAATTGAGAAATCCGATTTACCAATTTCAAATACAGCTATGCGTTGTAAGTTTTTATGATAATTTGTTAGTTAGCATTAACCACAACAGTGGTTAGTTAGCATTAACCACAATATTTTTTTCCTAATATGTTATTTTCATACTGAAGTAGTCCCTACATTTAATGTGATTTTATTTTATTATTGTAGCGTGGTTTCAAGAAATATTCACCAGTCTTATTCGGATTGAGGATACCCAAAAAAAA